TCTCCTGGCACTTTGAAGAGGCTTTTTTTCTGCTTCAGCTTGTCCACTTTCAGGGATTTGGTTCTGAAATTTGGGCCGGAGAAACGCAGAATTCGGTTCTAGGACGAGGCTGGGCCTGAGGCAGGGTACGTGCACATTTTTGCGCCGAAGAGGAAAGCCCAGGATACACATCTGTTTAACTGGGCAGCCGGCAGATTACCGACAGTTTGAGCGCACACCAGTCCGTCTGCCTTGGTATTGCGGGAAGGGCCCTCCCTAGTTGGAGACATCGTAGGGATTCTCATCCTTGGCTGCATGTCGGAATCACCTGAAAAGCTTTGGACACATTGATACGTGGGGTCCACTGAGGAGAGAGGTTAAAAAGATCTTCAGGTGATTCTAATGTGCTGCTAGAGCTAAGAACCACTGAGCTAGAGCTTCAGAGAAGACTGGAGATTACAAGAATATGATAAAATAGACTTCAGGAACAAGTCTACACTTACACTCAAAAAACCTATAATGCCTACCATAGGCAAGGCATTGTTAGATATAAATAAGACACAGTTACTGCCCCAAACGAACCACGGTCCAAAGGAAAAACCAGAATGTAAAAGTATTACAACACAATGCAGTATGTTCTATATGTCACGTCTGAGACAGTAGGGGAGTACAACCGGGAAGCAGTTAACTATGGCTGAGAAAGTTAGAAAAGGCCTATGACAGTTACAGTCCTGTAAGTGGTCCACTTGAAAAAGAATATTAAGAAGAAAGAAGGGGCGCCTGGGTGGCTCAGTTGGTTAAGATTCGGACTCTTGATTTGGGCTCAGGTCATGATCTCAGGGTTCTGAGATCGAAGCCCAAGTTGGGCTCCATGCTCAGGGTGGACTCTGCCTGGGATTCTCTCTCCCTCTGCCACCCCCAAATAAATAAATAAAATCTTAAAAAACAACAACAACAAAGTGCAATCTATGCAGAGAGAATAGCACCTGCAAAGATACAGACTAGGGGATAAAAGTGCAAAAAATTTGTAGCAAGATGAATGGTCAGGGGGTATTTAGGGGCTGACAACCATAATTTGGGGCCGGATTGGGGACGGTTTTGTACTGTAGTAAGGGTTTGGACCTTCCAGGATTAGGACTTGAAGTCATATTTTTCTTGCTCTTCCCTCCTGTGTGGTGTTGTTGTTTTTAATTTATTTAGCCTTATACTGAGAGTGGAAATTGCAGAAGCTGGGTGATGGGGTGGGAGAGAAATATTCAGGCACAATTTCACACTATACCTGAAAAACACTGCTGCTTTTAATACCCAGGTCTGATTCCAGATTGGAATGGCTTTCTACTTCTGTTTTTGTTTTTGGAATACCTTCTTTCAAAATGGCCACCACTGGGGCATCTTTAGTCCACCCTCAATGACTGCATATTCCTGAGCCCTAATTGTGAACAGTTTCTGTTTTTACTACGGGTCTCCCAACCCAGGAAGGTTGGAGGTTGTGTGATGATGGATGCCTGAGCACACAGGGGACCTATAGAAAACAATCTGTGCTTCAGTTCTGCCTTACAAAAGCACCTTCACATTTTTGTTTTTTAGAATTAGCTTAAAATAGGGTGAGCCATCTCCCTCAGGCTAATTTGACTTTGAGATGCTCTTGCTACCTGCTCTTCCTCTGGGTAAACTAGTTTATCAATATTGTTCCTACAATCTGTTTCCCGTTTTTTCTGTCCATCTTCCATGGTAGTAGAATTTTAGCCAGGCACATGTTTAAAGAGTACATTTCTCTGCAGCTATAGGATGTAAATGGATGTGCTGAATAGCTCCTTAGGACAATCTTCCTTACAGGACAGCTGGAGTCAAGAGTACAAAGGAATGAACTATTGATTCCCATGACAACACAGATGGATCTCAAGGGCTTTATGCTGAGTGATAAAAGCCACTCTCAAAAGGTTACATACTGTATAATCCTGTATATGACATTCCGGAAAAGGCTAAACTCTAGGGATAGATCCGTGGTCACACTAGGTTGGAATGGGAGAAATGTTTGACTACAAAGGAGCAGCAAAAGGGAATGTTGGGGTAATGCACAAACTTACCAGGTTGCTCGGAACCAGAGCTACCCTAACAGTAATTGACATCAAGTACCACATGAGAGCACTCTGGAAGAGGGGACATCCTTGTTAAGCAACTGATTAACTCTCCTGGGTAACAAATATGCATTGTGACATAGGCCTCTGTATCACACTCTGTCCTGAATTTAAGAGGACTGAAATTTCAGACACTGTAGCAGGCCAATGCCAAAAGGCACATCAGGGACAGATGGCACCCCTCAAGATAATCTGAGCAGTTCCATTTCTATCTAGTTGTGCTAAGTCACCAATGAGATGACATTTTTTTCTTATTTGTCCATCCCTTCACCTTCTTGGTTCCAGAACACAGAAGGGAAGAGAAACTCCTGGGCCAGCCATGGTTCCCTGGCAGCACCTCCGTCCCACCTGCTAGCCCCCTCCCCAACCCGAGGAAGAGGGCTTGCTTGTTGGGCACTTGCTCTGCCATCCTGGCCATGTGCCACCATGAGTGCTGGCAAAAAGTGACACAGATTGAAAAAGCTAGAGGGGAAAATGGTGTTTTTTTGCCCTGACTCAATGGGTTGTCCCTGAACCCCTAGATAGGGTCTATAAACCATTCTCAGTCCTCACAAGTCCCCTCTCTGGCTGAGGACTGCCTCCTGAGAGCCACCGTTTTAATATTCAAACCTTTTCTACATTTCTTTTAGGTCCTAAATGATACTCGTTTCTGGAGCAGGAAGGAGTCCATAGTCGTTTCTTCGTTGACTCTTCGCCGCACTCAGAACTTGGAGCAGTGGGAGGAAGACGGAGAGGCACGGGACGGCCTGTAGAATAGCAATGAGCCATCTGTATCTCCTGGGCATTCCGTAGGAGATACGCCCAGAGAGTCTCCTGGAAATCCTTATTCGGCAGATTCAGGGTAAGGCCCAGGCTTCTCTTTTTAACAAATTTCCAATGGTTTCTGGTTGGACAGCCCCAAACCCGGCTATCGAGCCTAAGATGGAAGTTGCTCCCAGTTCCCAGCCGGTGGTGAGAGCACGGGAAACCCTATACCCGGGTCGGTGGCGCACTGTGCGGCTCCCGGGGCACTCCCGGCCGGCACGCCCAAGATCGCTCGCTCCGGCCCCCAGGGCGCAGGCGCCGCTCGCCCCGCCCCGCGGACCCGCCCCGGACGCTCGCTGGTTTGACCCCCGCGCGGCGGCCCGTCTGCGCAGGCTCGGGACGGGTCTTGGCTCAGGGTCTGGGGCAGGGGTGGCCTTTACTCTTTGTGGGTTCGGCGACTTCCGGCGCGCAGGCCCGTCCCGGGCACCGCGCCCCAGTCCGTGACGGAGTTGGGAGTGCTCCTCCGCCTGCCCGCCTGCGAGGGGCTACGGGGGCCTGGAGCTAGGGGAAAGAGTTGCAGGGCCGGTCCGTGTCCCTGTGAGGCTCTCCCCCGAATCCCTGCTGTTTTAGGGCCTTGGAGGAGCACTGGCCACCAAGGTCGCAGGCGTGGCTACGGCCGTACCTCCTGGTGGTGTAGTCGTCACTGTGGGTGTGGGTCTGCGTGAGAACTGGGTTCCGGAGCCTGGTCCCGGAAGGGCGGCGGAGCGGAGCTAGTGAGCCCAGGCCCGGCTCGTTAGGGGTCTGAGAGCGCGCCTGAAAGCGGTGGAACCGCTCCGCCCCGGGCGGCAGCGCTTCGCGCCCGGGCGGGAGTCCGGGTTTGATAGCCCTGCTCTGGGCCCTGCGGGTCGGCTGGGCGTCACCGCGCGGAGTGGGAATGCCTGATGTTACCCAGCTTACCAGCTTACTCCCTGCTCCCTGAACTGTAGGGAGGACCACAGGGCTGCGGCCGCAGGACAGTGATTTGGACCTAGTGAAAGGACGTCGCCCCTTAGCCCCAGCTATGGACTCCACAGCATCAGGTTTGGCTCTCGAGGGTGCAGAGGACCGGAAGCCCTTCTGGGGAGTTAGTAGTGGACCGAGGAGGAGGACGACCCTAGGAAGAAGCCGGGGAATCCACTGATGGGGCAGAGCCTGCAACTGTCTTCCCTGTGGCATTTCCTAATTTGCCAGGCCCAGGAGCATGGAGTCCCAGTATCCAGACGCCGTGGTAGAAGTGGAGGGGATGGCCACGGAAGACTTCCGAAAAGGCCAGAGGAGAGCGGGGCGGGCGGGAAAGGATCTCTTCCGGTGTGGAAGGGAGAGGGTAAACAATAAACAAACCTGTGGGGGAGTGGTCCTTGGCCAGAGATCAGGGGGCAGTGGGGCCATTTCGAGCCTTGCCACCATTTCCTTTATTGCTTTATTAACTAATAAGATTCCTCTAGCTCGTCTAGCTCAACTGTATACAAGATTAGCAGTGTACATGGGGGGCACCTCCTGTAGCCACCCTTTCACTAGTGTTTGGGAGGAGGCAATCCAGGTGACCCAGGAGGTTTTAAGCCATTCCTTTGTAAATTTAGAGTCTCCTGTCCTTCACTAATGGGCATTTTGACTTTCCATTCTTCAGTGCAAATGCTCAAGGTCATAAGACTGGCCAGTGGCAGAACTGGGCCAAATCTCTGGGACTATCACCCCTTCTGTATTCCTTTATGCCTTGTGTTCTGTAGACCATCAGCACAGGAATCATCTCGAAACTCTTTAGAAATGCAGACTCTCAGGCCCTATCCTACATCCACTGAATCAGAGTCTGTTTAACAAGATCCTCAGGAATCTATACACACATTGAAGTGTGAGAAGTGCTGACCTATACTATACCATGCTGCTTGCCACTTCCATGCTTTTGTTGTTGTTAGCTATGACCACTTCTCTGGTATGGTTGGGGTTAGTTTTTTGTTTGTTTTCAGCCTTTAAAAACAGATACAAAACCCTATCATAGAGGGACTTGCAAAGTATGCTTGCAGAGACCTAATGATGCTTGGGAACTTCTCAGGAAGAACTGACCTTTGAGCTGGCTTCCCAAGGATAAGGGGAAAGGTGTGACTTCTTTCCCTTAAAGTCAATATCCCTCTGCGGCCTTGCCCTGGGCCTTGTTTGGTATGCTTAACCTGTCATACCGCAGGCTAGATTTAAAGTTCCTTGAAAACCTTCTCCATGTTTATATTTTTAAAAGGCCTAGTAGGACCTATATATTGGATACCCAGTAAATAACTGTCCAGTGGAGTGGCCAGGCTATGGTGGTACTTCAGTTACCTGCAACCTGCTGTGGCCTTTGGACAGGAAGTGGGGGGGGGTTGTGTACTTCTCTCTCGTGTGGGTTAGCTAGAGGCTGCCCCTCAGCTCCCTTTGACCCAGCTCTGTCCCCAGAACCGTGGAGGGGACACACTGACTCTTTAGAATCTCCAGCATGGGGAGTCTGGGAGCTGCAAAGGCCATGAGGTTAGCCTTCCTTATGGCTCCTTTTACCTTCTTAGTTCTCCCCTCTCAGGACTCTGCTCTTCCTCCAGAGAGATACCCAGGAGAAAAGGGAACAACCAGTTTATTCCTGAAAGCCAGGCCCCAGGTGAGTTGGGGTTCTCTTCATTTTTCCTCAAATGACTGAACTACGGATGTCTTTGCCTCCTTTTCTCTGGAGCCTCTGTTCAACGCCAAAGGGAACTGACCCCAATCCCTGCTCTGCAGGAGGTTGAGCCCATCAAGGTGGATGCTGGCCTCCCTGCCCCTTTCCAGGGCCCCTCTCCTCTCTGCTCAGTATGCACTCACTCAGATCCTTTGGTTTATTTCTGTCATGAGCACTGCAGTGAGTACCAAGTAATGTAAGAGAGCCCTGGCCTTGAAAGAGTGTCACTATCACAGAAAGGGGAGGACTCTGGTACGGAGGATGCAGCCCCAGTCACAGTGAGGATGTGCATGATTTAATGACAGATGGGAATGGCACAGATAGGCCTTTCCTTCAAGGTTTAGTAAAAGGAAAATCAGCCTGTGCTGGAGAGGTTGGGGAAGGCTCATGGAGAAGAGGGGCAAAGAGGTTCTGAGGGTATGGACAGGTGGGGAGGCCATTTGAAGCTATGTCCCTGTTCGGATGTTACCTTCCTGGAATTAGTGAGGAGATAGACTTAACTCACTACTTCCTGGCTGGAAGACTCACCTAACTTCTCTATGCATTGGTTTTGCCAACTGTAAAATGAGGATGGTAATCATGTTAATGATAATGATGAAAGTAGTAATAGCCAATGTACTGAGAACTAAATATGTATCAGGAACTATTCTACACAATTTACTTAAACTAACTCTTTTCATCTTTCAAACATTCTCATTTTGAGGAATGGCAACTGAGGCACAGAAAGGCAACTGAGAAAGCCAAGGCACAGAGAGAGAAAGTAACTTGTTCATGGTTATCTAGCTCATAAGGAAGGCATTTTAGTTTCAGATCCAGGTTGTCTGGCTCTAAGATCTTAACCACTCAGTAATGCAACTACCTCATATTGTTGCTGGAGTCTTCTGGCAAATGGTAACTGCTTAGTCCTTGTCAGCTTCAGTTGTGATGGGGGTAGAGGGGGTAATAATGACTGACTCCAGAAGTGGATTCAGGTTTGGCTGTAGTAGGCTGGAGAACCAAGTGGAGGGCTGTAGATGCAAGCCTGCATTGTTTCCTAGCATGGATGCCAAGATGGTACTATCTTGGTACTACCTAGATGATAGTTTCATGTATTCTAGCTTAATGATAGACATTGTGTTTAATTTTCTAGCCAATGGGGGAAACCCCCACCAATAGGGAAGTCTCACAAATAGCTAGTAGAGTAATAAATAGAGTTTAAACCTCTTTGGCCTTGATGTACACATTCAGAGGTACATCAGAGAGCTTAATCTAGTTATGCTGTGGTAACAGTGGCCTGTAGATCTCAACGGCTTATAGTAACAAAGGTGTATTTCTTCTCTGTTACATATCAGTAGTGGACTGGCTGTGACTGCTCCAGACCCTCTTTGCTCTGGGATTCTGGCTGAATCCTGTCTGGGATATATTATGTGGCAGGGAAAAGTGTAATGTCAGAACCAGGAGATGGTTCTTCTGGCTTCTGCCCAGAAAGGACATGTGTTGCTTCTGCCCACAATCCACTGGCCAAAGCAAGTCATGTGGCCAAGCCTAAAGTCAGTGAGGTGGGAAATATAAGCCTCCCATAGTGAGGGGTGCCAGGGGAGGGGCAATGAATATTTTGAACAAATGAGTCTACCACTGTCTGTTTTCTTACAAATATTCACTTCCCTCCCTCCCTCCACACAAATTCTCTCCCCAAAAGATAGCCCCAGAACTCCATTTAGTTATCTAGTAGGAACATCAAGATCAGAGTCCTGGATGGGGTGATGGCCTCAACATCAGGTCTGGATGTTTCTCCTCTGGATCTGGAGATCTATGAACTAAAAGGACAAATTGTCTGAATCCATATATCCAATGTACAGTGGAACAATGGAGACAGGATAACCACAGTAAGCACCCCTATTCAGAACAGGGAAGCATGGGAGGAGCCCAGCAGTCTCAGGTCTGTAATAGCTATGAAATTCCACTTGGCAGACTTGGTGAGAACCACTGATCTTGGGACTGGGAAGTCTTTTGGTTATGTCCTTGTTCTGCTCTGTGGGTGGAGCTCCTCAGTCCCGTTTTCCTTGGCTCTTGGCTCTGCCCCCCAAGTTCTTTTTGCAGTATCCTCCTTGGTCACATAGGAAATGATATTGGAGAATAAACTCACTTGAGGGCTAACCAGCTTTTTCATTCTACCTGAGTAGGTTGATATGCCCAAGGATTTTTTCTTTTTTTTTTTTTTAAAGATTTTATTTATTTATTTGACAGAGAGAGAGATAGGGAGAGCAGGAACATAAGCAGGGGGAGTGGGAGAGCGAGAAGCAGGCTTCCTGCCGAGCAGGGAGCCCGATGTGGGACTCGATCCCAGGACCCTGGGATCATGACCTGAGCCGAAGGCAGACGCTTAATGACTGAGCCACCCAGGCGCCCCGCCCAAGGATTTTTTCAAGTCATGGACATTCAGTGTAACTTTCGAAATGTCATCAGCTTTTAATGTATCTGTTTTCTGTCACTTCCATGTGTCAGCAATTTTACCTACAGTTCTTTTTTAAATATGCCCCTCTTTTTAGGCTTAATTGTGGAGCTCTGGGGGTTTTCTTGGGACAGCCATTGTTTTAGTCACTAAGCAATTCAGTGACCCTGAAAGATTTACTGGGAGCCATCTGGAATTATTCAGAGGTTTAAACAAAAGGTTTGACTACCACACTCATGATTTGGTCTTTCCCTAAGGTTGAGTTTTAATCATCCTCTGTCATGCAAAACCCTTATCTATATTGTCTTGACCAGTTGGAAATGAGAAGTGGTTAAATCTCTTAACTCTGCAAATCCTGGAAATTCTGGACACTTTCTTTTGCCTTCCATTTTTATTTTGCAAACTGGCAAACTCTTGAGCTCATTTTTTTTCTTGTAATATTTTGTCAAATTCTGCCAGTAACAACCAACTCACACTACTGATGTTCCAGCCTCTTCTCGTAACATCGCAAGTTCATGCTTACATTGTTCATCTTTTCAGTTACTACAGACAACAGTTTTAGCACACAGTTCACCACCAAATTACATGGGTTGCCATTTCACCAATAAGTTTCTTTACTACCCGGCCCTGAAGCCAAAGTCACAAATTTTAGGCTTTTTGTTATGGCAGAACTCTACATTAAGTACAGCTTTTTAATGAGTCATTTTAGGCTAGTTATGCTGTAATAACAACAGCAAACCCTAAGATTTATACCAACAAAGGTCTATATCTTGCCTGCATTACCTGTTTTATATTCCATTTGCAAAAGCAGATTATTTGACTATACCTGGGTCAGTGGGGCAGGGAACTCAATCCTGTAGGGAGAGCCAGTGAATATTCTGAACAAATAATATAATCTATCACAAGAGGTTACTATAGTAGTGAGTTTTCCATATTTGATTATTTTGGACTGACTTTCATGTTAATGTAAAATTCTACTTTGACTTATTCTATGAAATCAATACCTAAATAGGATTTGATTTCTAAACATATTTTGGGAAAAGTAGCAGGAGTTTATACTGTCTTCATTTATCTGCATTTTAGTTCATGGTATGTGGATTATTGTACAGTGTAAGTCAAATGGGAGGTGTTCTAACTGCTGTTATAGAGGATGACAGGATAGTCCTGGTGGGACCCACAGAATGGTTGTACCTTGTGGGGACCTGGGATTCAGAGTCTCACTATCAGTTTTGCACATTCAGGAATTGAATGAGTAGGAATTGAAAAGTGATTAGGCTTTGAGCGAGAGGATTCGTGGTAATCAAACTCACAAAAGACTTACTGATTCATTATAAGGCCACTTGATATACTTTCACTGAACTGTGTGGTGGTGGTGGTGATAAATTATTATAAATCCCAAATTATTTGGTTTGGACTTAGTAAAAATTGTCTTTAAAATCATAGGCCACAAGTTTCAAAAATAGTTGGAGACTATTGATACTAGTGCATTTGAGAATGCAAAACAAGGGCCTCTGGATGGCACAGTTGGTTAAGTGTCCAACTCTTGGTTTGGGCTCAGGTCATGATCTTGGGGTCTTGGGATTGAGCCCAATGTCAGGCTCCAGGCTCAGTGAGGAGTCTGCTGGAGTTTCTCTCTCCCTCTCACTCTACCCCTCCCACACTCACTCATGCTCTCTCTCAAATAAGTAAATAAATCTTTAAAAAAATGCAAAACGGGGCGCCTGGGTGGCTCAGTTGGTTGAGCGACTGCCTTCGGCTTGGGTCATGATCCTGGAGTCCCAGGATCGAGTCCCGCATCGGGCTCCCTGCTCGGCGGGGGGTCTGCTTCTCCCTCTGACCCTCTTCCCTCTCGTGCTCTCTGTCTCTCATTCTCTCTCTCAAATAAATAAATAAAATCTTTAAAAAAAAAAAATGCAAAACGTATTAGCCGTTACTTCTAGTTGATTCTAATTAAATGTTGAAGATTGAGGAAATGGATTGCATTTATCTCCCTTACCTAAGCAGAATGTCTCTGTAGGCCTGATTCTCTTGAGATCCTGATTGTATTTCTAAGCAGCGTGATACTGACAAAAGTGGGCATTGGGTAGGATTCCAAGTAGTAAGGGTAATACAATCCCTGGAGTAGCTTAAAATATTTTTGGGATGACAAACCCAAAACTGGGCATTGGGATAGCTAGAAACTCTTGGAATCCCTTCTACATCCTAAGGTTCTACTCAGAGATCCACCCACTCTTCCCCCCCGGGGCTGTTAGTGTGCTCCCTGAGGGTATAAGAGTGTGCTCCCTGAGGGTATAAGAGTGTCTTCTGTGTTTCAGGATCTGATGACATTTGAGGATGTAGCTGTGGAATTCACCCAGTGGGAATGGGGGCAGTTGGACCTTGCTCAAAAGGACCTATACAGGGCAGTGATGCTGGAGAACTTCAAGAACCTGGCCTCTCTGGGTGAGCTCAGCTCCTCCAAAGCCCAAAGCCTGCCTGTCAGGCCTGCCATCTTTATTTCATTGTGTTTAAAAGCTTGGGGTTTCTAGACCTGTTCGCTGAGTTTTGGCCTGGGGTTATGGAATCAGACATTTACATTGTCTTTGGGGTTCTCATTCCTAGGAATTGTCCTGCTCCATATGAAATTGTAATAATAAGTTTCATGATTCTGATCCTAATATTTTACAGTGCCTATTCTTTGGAGGCTCTCCACATCTACACTCTGGTCTCCCCCAGAAAGACCTAGGCCCAAAGCCTTGGCCTCTAACATACACAGTCATGATCCTTTTTTCTCTACCATCAGGGCTTCCAGTGTCTAAACCATATGTGATCTCCCAGATGGAGGAAGGGAAAGAGCCCTATGTGTTAGAGGGAGAAATCTCAACAGGTGAGTGAGTGAGACCTAAGCAGCATCACACATAATAAGGACCAGCCATGGGTGAGAAATTGCCCTGAACCTTTGGTCATGGGGCTTTCCTTTGAGAAGGTAAGACCACTTGTCAGGAGCCCTCCACTGCAACATTTTGAATACTCTTAGGCTTTTGTAATTATATCTGGTGTCAGAAGAAGCGATGCTCATTTTCTTCTCTAGCATTTACACTTCCTTTGGTACCCATCTCTGCTCACCCCTTCTGGGTTCTTGGTGCCACTCAGCATCACTAGATGTCATATGGTCATTGTTGGATGGAATCTAAAGATTGACAGTTGTAAATGGCCAGGCTATCCTATATCAGCAAGGCTAAGAGAGTTAGTGAGACCAAACAGTAGAGTAGCCTAGAAATTAAAGAGTTACAGGCCAGGACAGACAGATGTCAAGATCAAGGTGAAGACACTTCAAGCTGGATTAAGCTGAGCTTCAACAGAGGTGGTTCCAGGAGCAAAAATTTCTCCTTGCTGTCTGTTGATGTCATCTCTTTGAGATGATGTATTCCTAGGTAACTTGAGAGTACCTGACAGGCTTCACCTCTTGGAGCAGAATTCTGGACTCAGGCTCTCCTGCCTGCCATGTGTAGCCCAGGCACAATGGAGGAAGGTGACAGTCTGTGCCAATGTCCATCTGTGAGGTAGAATCATAGCCTGGGTCAGAGGTAAATCTCAGGAAATCAGTGCTCAAATCCTGAGAGCACAGGCTGGGCCTCATTAAAGGAGCCTAGAATAGAGAACAGAGAGGGAAGTTGCTGATCTCTGCTATATTAATATTTTCTTGATCTTTTTTCCTTCTAGAATGGGAACAAGGGTGTGACCTCTGGATCTAGTCTTAAGATAAATACCTGTCTGTTGACAGTGCTCTACAAACATGGCTGTGTTTCAGAATCTCTCAGGGAGCTTGTTAAACATCCAGATCTCCAGGGGTCACATAAGACCTAACTGACTCAGAATCTGGCTTCTGGGAGCACTGGCATCACTAATCATTTACCTCTTCAAAAGTGTTACTATTATTGTATTAGTTTTCTATTATTGCTGAAACAAACAAATACAAACTTAATGACTTTAAACAACACAAGTTTATTAATAGTTCATAGGTCAGAAGTCTGGCATGGGTCTCACAAAAGATGTCAGGAGAGGTGTGTTCCTTTCTGGAGTTGCTAGGGCAGATTCTGTTTTCTGGCATTTGAATTGTTGGCAGAACCAATTCTTGCAGTTGTGAAACTAAGATCCTTGTTTTCTTGCTGGCTGTCAACTGAGGAATGTTTCCAGCTTCTAGAGACTGCTACATTCCTTGGCTCATGGTGCCCTTCCTCCACCTTCAAAGCCAGAAATGGTGGGCTGAGTCCTTCTCACACATCTCTCTGACCCAGCCAGGAAATGTTCTCTGATTTTAAGGACTTATGTGATTAGATTGGGCCCATCTGAATAATCCAGGATAATATACCCATCTAAAGGTCTGGGCCCTTAATCCCATCTGCAAAGTCCCTTTTGCCATATAAGGTAACATATTTACAAGTTCTTGGGATTAGGGCATGGATGTCTTTGGGGGGGGATTATTTTGCCTATCACAATTATATACAGTAATATATTACTGAGGGGCTGAGGGGACTTTGTGGAGGACATCTTCCTACCCTCTTCTCATCTTTATGATCTTTGGACTTACCTTGTGTACTGGAATCCAATCACTATTTTTTCAGGTTTTCCTAATCTCCATTCATTTGTTTATCACTTCTTGATAACTCCAAAACCTTCTTCAGATATACACTATACTTGAAAGAAACTACACATCCCAGATATTATTTTAAGACTTGATTATCTTACATCCATTATAGAACTTTACTTCCTCTGGGCACATGAAACAGTTAATACTAGAATGTCTTTTTTTTTTCCCCCTCAGACTGGGAGAAAAGGCCTAAAGCCAAGGAATCAATACTAAATCAGGGAATTTCCAAAGAAGAATTACTCCAGATAGCATCAGTGGAAAAACATGTCAGAGATGAACTCTGCTTCTGCAAACTGAAAGTAACCTATGGTTGTGATGACCAATTAGAGATACATCCAAAAAACCAGGAGAGACATCTGAAAGAAATGTCAATCACTCACAAATCTACCACCCTTAAGATAGATCATGAACGGAGTGAATTTGGGAGAAGTTTAGGCTTAAGATCAGTCCTGGTTAACCAACACAGTGTTCCTATAGGAGAAGGATCCTATAAATGTGATACAGAATTCAGACAGACTTCAGGGAGAAATAACTCCCAGAGAACCCATTCAGGAAAGAAACCTTGTAAATGTAATGAATGTGGGAAGTCTTTCCATTTCCAGTCAGAACTTAGGCGCCACCAGAGATGTCACACTGGAGAAAAGCCCTATGAATGCAGTGAATGTAGAAGAGCCTTTGGTCATATTTCATCTCTTATTAAACATCAGAGAACTCATACTGGAGAAAAGCCCTATGAATGCAGTGAATGTGGGAGAGCCTTCAGCCAGAGTTCATCTCTTGTTTTACATTATAGATTTCATACTGGAGAAAAACCTTACAAATGTAATGAATGTGGAAGAGCCTTTGGACATACTTCGTCTCTTATTAAACATCAGAGAACTCATACTGGAGAAAAGCCCTATGAATGCAGGGAATGCGGGAGAACCTTCAGTCAGAGTTCCTCTCTCATCGTACATTATAGATTTCATACTGGAGAGAAACCTTAC